TCCGCCATGTTTTACAGTCGGGATAAGGTTTTGATGTTGGTGTGCTGTGCCTTTTTTTCTCCACACAGTGTTGTGTGTTCTTCCCAAACAACTCAATCTTGGTTTCATCTGTCCACAGTATATTTTGCCAGTAGTGCTGTGGAACATCCAGGTGCTCTTTTGCAAACTTCAAACATGCTGCAATATTCTTTTTGGACAGCAATGGCTTCCTCCGTGGTGTCCTCCCATGTACTCCATTCTTGTTTAATGTTTTCCTTATTGTAGATGTGTCAACAAAAATGTTAGCATGTGCCAGAGATTTCTGTAGGTCTTTAGCTGACACTCTGGGATTCTTCTTTACCTCATGCAGCATTCTGCGCTGTGCTCTTGCAGTCATTTTTACAGGACGACCATGCCTAGGGAGAGTAGCAACAGTGCCAAACTTTCTCCATTTGTAGACAGTCTGTCTTACCGTGGACACATGAACATCAAGGCTTTTGGAGATACTTTTGTTACCCTTTTCCAGCTTCATGCAAGTCAACAATTCTTGATCGTAGGTCTTCTGAGAGCTCTTTTCTGCGAGGCATGGTTCACATCAGACAGTGCTTCTTGAAACCAGTAAACCCAAAACAGGTGTGTGTTTTTTAAGGGCAGGACAGCTGTCAGCAACACATCCAATATCATCACACTGATTGGAGTCAAGGTTGGCTCACTCCTGGCTCCAATTAGCTCTGGGAGAAGTCATTAAGCTAGGGCCTCACATACTTTTTCCTCCCTGCACTGTGAATGTTTACATGTTATGTGCAATTAAACCATGGCAACATCTAATGTTTGTGTAGTATTATGTTCAGCAGACTGTGTTCTTCTATTGTTGTGACTTAGATGACGTTCAGAGCACATTTTATGCCCAATTCATGCAAAACTCCACGTAATCCCAAGGGGTTCACATACTTTTTCTTGCAACTGTATATGCACTACATGATTTGCAAAAACTGCACAGAGGTTTCCTACAAAAGGCCAAAGTGACTAACCAGCAGAATAAGGTTAAGTCTTGAGGAATGCAAAAAGTGTTAAAGGGTCCCTTTAGAAATCTGGTTGTTAGTTCAGGGTGGTTAAGTGTTAAGAGACTGCAAATGCTTCCAATATAGGACTTCTGGCACCAAAACCGTTTGTCAGCACAGTATCTATGAAAGTGTGCTTGATACTGTAAGTGCATTGCTGTATACTTTAAGCACAGTGAATCTTATATTATATATCAACATCAACATCACACAATGCAGGTTAGGTACAGCTGATCTGTTTAACCTTTTGCTGCCAATGATATGCACCACAAGATAACACTGAAAGGGTTTCAACAAGCTCATGGCTGCAACAGCCCATGGTGATTAAATATAGGAGTAATCAGAAGTCATGAAATCAGCTTTTCTTTATCCATCCCCAGTACTCAATTCTGCCTGTGATAAACTCTCTCATTCTTTTCTGAATTCTTGAGTCAGGTCACCCTTACGTGTTCATTAATACAGCTATCCAAAAGCTAAGGCTAGCCATAGATGGATTTTTTTTTAATCCGCATGCGGGCTGATCAACAAAAACAAACTGATTTCATCATCTGCACAAGCAAGGTTGATAGAGGAATCCTTCCCAATGTGCTATTGTATTCGGACAGCAGGGACTCCTCCGCTGTCAAAATACACTAGTCAGCCCTGCAGTCGATTGGCTGCAACCACTGATCGAATGAAAAATTTCCAACAGCTGCGTTAGATAAACTTCTGTCAAACAGAACGGCACAAGATGAATCAAAATTCATGCGGTCCTTGCTGAACTGGACGAACTTCGATCTATCTATGGCTAGTTTAAGAACTTCTGTGTAATAGTTAGTGTTATTCAATACCACCGCTGTGTCACGCTTGTCTGCATGTCAATTGGTAAATCTTTGTTCTTTTGTTTCAGTAGCTCCTAGACACATTTCTCCTCCCTACCTTAAGACCTGATTCTACTTTTTAAAATTATGTTATCAAATCACTTAATTTTTATCAAATCACTATTAATTTCTGAAAAATATCCAAATTCTAACCCCCATTATGGACTGGGTAAAAATGGCTTTTTTGTGGTTAAAACTCATGTAAATTTCACTCCTTATGTACAGTGGGGATCGAAAGTTTGGGCACCCCAGCTAAAAATTTGTATTAATGTGCATAAAGAAGCCAAGGAAAGATGGAAAAATCTCCAAAAGGCATCAAATTACAGATTAGACATTCTTATAATATGTCAACAAAAGTTAGATTTTATTTCCATCATTTACACTTTCAAAATAACAGAAAACAAAAAAATGGCGTCTGCAAAAGTTTGGGCACCCTGCAGAGTTAATATCTTGTACTGCCCCCTTTGGCAAGTATCACAGCTTGTAAACGCTTTTTGTAGCCAGCCAAGAGTCTTTCAATTCTTGTTTGAGGTATCTTTGCCCATTCTTCCTTACAAAAGTCTTCCAGTTCTTTGAGATTTCTGGGTTTGTCTGTCACGCAGTGCTCTTTTAAGGTCTATCCATAGATTTTCAATTATGTTGAGGTCAGGAGATTGTGAAGGCCATGGAAAAACCTTCAGTTTACGCCTCTTGATGTAATCCCGTCGATTTCGAGGTGTGTTTAGGATCATTATCCATTTGTAGAAGCCATCCTCTCTTTAACTTCAGCTTTTTCACAGATGGGATCAAGTTACCATCCAAAATTTGCTGAAATTTTATTGAATCCATTTTTCCTTCTACTCGTGAGATGTTCCCTGTGCCACTGGCTGCAACACAACCCCAAAGCATGATTGATCCAACCCCATGCTTAACAGTTGGACAGAGGTTCTTTTCATTAAATTCTGTGCCCCTTCTTCTCCAAACGTACCTTTGCTCATTCCGGCCAAAAATTTCAATTATAACCTCATCGGTCCACAGAACTTGTTTCCAAAAAGCATCAGGCTTGTCTTTATGTTCATTTGCAAAGTTCAAACGATGATTTTTGTGGTGAGGACGTAAAAGAGGTTTTCTTCTGATGACTCTCCATGAAGACCATATTTGTACAAGTATCTCTTTATAGTGGAATAGTGTACCACAACTCCAGTGTCTGCCAGATCTTTCTGGAGGGATCGTGCAGTCAAATGTGGGTTTTGAATTGTTTTTCTCACAATCCTGCGAGCTGTTCTGTCTGATATTTTTCTTGGTCTTCCAGATCTTGCTTTAACTTCCACTGTTCCTGATGACTGCCATTTCTTAATTATATTCCGAACAGAGGATACTGACATCTGAAAACGCTTTGCTATCTTCTTATAGCCTTCTCCAGCTTTGTGAGCGTCAACTATTTTCAGTTTCCGTTTTCTAGACAACTGCTTAGAAGAACCCATGGTGCTGATTGTTGGGGCAAGATCAGATGAGTCTGGGCATTTAAAACCTTTGAGATTGACATCACCTGGTCTTCCCAGACGATGATTGAGAACAATCCATGACAGTGGCAGGTCTCAGCTTGGCAAAGGGGGCAGTGCATGCTATAAATTCTGCAGGGTGCCCAAACTTTTGCAGACGCCATTTTTTTGTTTTCTGTTATTTTGAAAGTGTAAATGATGGAAATAAAATCTAACTTTTGTTGACATATTATAAGAATGTCTAATCTGTAATTTGATGCCTTTTGGAGATTTTTCCATCTTTCCTTGGCTTCTTTATGCACATTAATACAAATTTTTAGCTGGGGTGCCCAAACTTTCGATCCCCACTGTATATATATTTCCTCTAAACTTTACTCCTTATTCATATCTTCCTACGCATATTCATTATCCACAATCCCAATATAACTAGGTTATATGACAGTGTTTCTGCAATATGAGTTCTCTTGAAAAATTATCTATATACATTAAAAGTTTAAAAAAAAAAATAAAGTGAGGGTTGAAAATGTAAACCCTTTGAAGGCAAACTTAATTCATAGTAGAGAAGGAGGAGTAAGAGAGGATAGGATTAATATATATATATATATATATATATATATATATATATATATTAATTAAACATGCCCACTAACGTCTTAAAAACAAACGACAAGCTTGAAAGAAATACATATACAGTTCATAAACCCACTTTCCTCTTTCTTTCTTCACTGCTAATATTTATTGAAATAATTTGGCCTTCCCAGAATAGAAACTAAGAATAGCAATGATGTAATGGAGGAAGATGTTCTAAGAATTCATTGTCGTTCAATAGTCTTCTTTCCTAAATACATAAATTATAACTGTATACTAATATTTATAGGTAAAGTAGATCTAGGGAATATCGGTTTACCTTATGGGATCAGGAAGGAATCATTGCCCCCCCCAAACCCCCCGGACCAAATTGAATCATGCTTTACTGGGGTTTTTTTTTTTTTTTCGCCTTCCACTGGGTCAACTGTGGGCATAGAATTATTTATATGGAGGTTTTCTATTTGTGTTTTTTTTTTTTCCTCTGTGGGTCAAACTGGATGGATTTTTGTCTTTCAACCAGACTAATTATGTACCTACAATGTAGAATAGATATATGTATGTAGAATAGATATAATTTAGTGGTTTTATTAGAGGTTTTGAAACAAGATTACCGTTCACGATGAAAGGCCTTTTTGTTTAGTTTTTTTTTTTTTTAAATAGGGTTTGGGTGGGAACAGGGGTTCATATATGCTCTTAACCCCTCTCACCTCTCCTGTTCTACAATTAAGCCTCAGGAGTGGCAAAACATATCAGAGGGAGGATGTGAGTGGAGTGTGTCACTGCTCTCAGAGTTAAATGTTTGCAAAGGATCAGGGGTGTACGGCTTTCGCTACTTTCATAGATAAGCATTGTGGGAATATGGTTGGACCTTGGGATCCAAGGACACAGGCCCTTGGGAGAGATTTCAAGATTAGGACAATGTTTGGGAGGGCAGGGGGGTTAACTTATCTTAAGTCCATAATGCACACAATATTTCCTTAATAGAGGGTAAGGGATGCAACATAATTCAGGTTTTTTAACAGTTTCTTACCAGGAGTGATTGGCCGTTCAGGATGCAAAGGCATAGGAAAATTTTCATTTTCCGAAAAACTACTGTCCTGACTTGGCTCAAAATCCTCTTCTGCTGCCATGCTCTCCATTAGTTTACTTACAGCTCCACATTTTCCATGATTCTAAAACAAAAAAATAACATCCAAAATCAGTAATAATGTATCTAAACGCAAGGAAAAAAATATAATACAGTTCACATTACAAGTCCTTGGATGTGGTGGTTGCATTTGTTTTCTTTTCTTCAGGCTTTTTTCTTTTTATACTCCCCAGGCTATCCTGCCAATAGCACACTTTTTCATAGGGTTACAAACACCCACTTACTTTATTTTGGCAGTGTTGTCACCCTAGGACAGAAGAGTGTTATAACTAAAGGAAACCCAACCCTTTACTCATCTTCATAACAGCTCACATAATATCTTCATAATAAGACTGCTTGAGATGACACTGCAGAATGCACAGGAACTTGCACTCTCACTTTCTGTCAAGATCAACAGGTATTTTTTGTGTTAAACATATACGAAAACACATTCAATTGTTTAACAGACGAACAGGATGCAAGTAAAGTTCATTGTTGTGGTTTACAAACACTTTAAAGAATAGGTTCACCTCTGGGAACATGTTACATGTTCCGCCCGTTTTTAAGGTGGAACATGGAACAAGTTCCCGATCCCGCAGCAGATGCCTGATACCCACCCTTCCCATGACAGCAGTACGAGGAGTTCTCTGTACTAGCTGTCACTTTATAAAAACAGCACGGCCATACATGACTCCGTCCACATGGCCATGTTATTCATTTACAGGGTTCTGTGAATGAATGGACTACAAGTCTCAACAGGCTTAGCAGCTGTTGACTTGTAGTTCTCAATGAACTACCATGGCACTGTGAGCATTGTGGTAGTTCACATTCTTGTCAGAAGTATCGACTGACTTGGCCGTACAGGATGTACGAGGACACAGATACACTGACAGATCTGCAGTAGACCTGCCTGGCATCAGCGACCTGCTGATCGCTAGTGCAATGCTTTACAGGTTCCTGCTATAAGAAATAAATGCATTTTTTCACAGCACAGTGGCTAAATGGTTAGCACTTCCACCTGGCAACACTAGGGTCATTGGTTCAAATCCCAACCACAGCACTACCTGCCTGGAGTTTGCATGTTCTCCCTGTGCCTGAGTAAGTTTCCTCCCACACTCCAAAGACATGCTGGTAGGTTAACTGGATCCTGTCTAAATTGGCCCTAGTATGTGTATGTATTTATGCAAGTTAGGGACATTAGAACGTACATCCCTTGAGGGTTAGGGACTGATGTGAATGTAGAATATATATGTAAAGTGTCCCGTAAACTGACGGCGTTATATAAGTACCTGTAATAAATACTTGCAAAAATGTGCACTTATTATTTTTTATAGCAGGGTGATCTTATCCTTTAACTTCAGCTAAAGCAGTGTTTAGTAAACCTGTCCTTCAATTCCACCAACTGTTCGGGTTTTGTGAATAGTCAACCATTTAACTAAATAGCATTACAGAGATTGCCAACTGATATGCCTGTGGATAAATCCGGGTACCTGAAAAATCAGCACTATTTGTGAGATTGGAAGGCAAAAAAACAGGTAAATAACTCGAATAAACACGCAGTTATCCAAACCTTTCTATCACAGTCAAGTGTTAGGCCGTCTGAAACGCAAAGCTCCAACATTTACGGATGTCAGAGCTTACTGCTAAATTCCACCCTAACCCATTGCCCCATCACGATGATGGACAGCCACACTGGCCAATGTGCAAGAAGGAAAGGGAGGACAAGATTTGGCACTACAAGGGCTATAAGTGCAGTGTGTGTATATATATATATATATATATATATATATATATATATACATATACACAGTGGGGATCGAAAGTTTGGGCACCCCAGCTAAAAATTTGTATTAATGTGCATAAAGAAGCCAAGGAAAGATGGAAAAATCTCCAAAAGGCATCAAATTACAGATTAGACATTCTTATAATATGTCAACAAAAGTTAGATTTTATTTCCATCATTTACACTTTCAAAATAACAGAAAACAAAGAAATGGAGTCTGCAAAAGTTTGGGCACCCTGCAGAATTTATAGCATGCACTGCCCCCTTTGCAAAGCTGAGACCTGCCAGTGTCATGGATTGTTCTCAATCATTGTCTGGGAAGACCTGGTGATGTCAATCTCAAAGGTTTTAAATGCCCAGACTCATCTGATCTTGCCCCAACAATCAGCACCATGGATTCTTCTAAGCAGTTGTCTAGAAAACTAAAACTGAAAATAGTTGACGCTCACAAAGCTGGAGAAGGCTATAAGAAGATAGCAAAGCATTTTCAGATGTCAATATCCTCTGTTTGGAATGTAATTAAGAAATGGCAGTCATCAGGAACAGTGGAAGTTAAAGCAAGATCTGGAAGACCAAGAAAAATATCAGACAGAACAGCTCGCAGGATTGTGAGAAAAACAATTCAAAACCCACGTTTGACTGCACGATCCCTCCAGAAAGATCTGGCAGACACTGGAGTTGCGGTACACTATTCCACTATAAAGAGATACTTGTACAAATATGGTCTTCATGGAAGAGTCATCAGAAGAAAACCTCTTCTACGTCCTCACCACAAAAATCATCGTTTGAACTTTGCAAATGAACATATAGACAAGCCTGATGCATTTTGGAAACAAGTTCTGTGGACCGATGAGGTTAAAATTGAACTTTTTGGCCGGAATGAGCAAAGGTACGTTTGGAGAAGAAGGGGCACAGAATTTAATGAAAAGAACCTCTGTCCAACTGTTAAGCATGGGGTTGGATCAATCATGCTTTGGGGTTGTGTTGCAGCCAGTGGCACAGGGAACATCTCACGAGTAGAAGGAAAAATGGATTCAATAAAATTTCAGCAAATTTTGGATGGTAACTTGATGCCATCTGTGAAAAAAGCTGAAGTTAAAGAGAGGATGGCTTCTACAAATGGATAATGATCCTAAACATAATGATCCAAATCGACGGGGGATTACATCAAGAGGCGTAAACTGAAGGTTTTTCCATGGCCTTCACAATCTCCTGACCTCAACATAATTGAAAATCTATGGATAGACCTTAAAAGAGCACTGCGTGACAGACAGCCCAGAAATCTCAAAGAACTGGAAGACTTTTGTAAGGAAGAATGGGCAAAGATACCTCAAACAAGAATTGAAAGACTCTTGGCTGGCTACAAAAAGCGTTTACAAGCTGTGATACTTGCCAAAGGGGGCAGTACAACATATTAACTCTGCAGGGTGCCCAAACTTTTGCAGACGCCATTTTTTTGTTTTCTGTTATTTTGAAAGTGTAAATGATGGAAATAAAATCTAACTTTTGTTGACATATTATAAGAATGTCTAATCTGTAATTTGATGCCTTTTGGAGATTTTTCCATCTTTCCTTGGCTTTTTTATGCACATTAATACAAATTTTTAGCTGGGGTGCCCAAACTTTCGATCCCCACTGTATATATATTGTGGCAGTGCGGTATCCTGCCATGGTGGAAATCACAGTGGTGACCCAGGATTCTCAACCATACAGGTTGAGGGGCTCCAGGCAGTTCTCATAATGCAGAGGAAACGGGTTTATTGGTTTCCTCTTTGGTTTCTAAAGCCTGTTTTGGGACCTGTAGCCTGGAGATTTCTAAGAAATTTGGGAGGGATGAAATCTCCAGTCCTGGGCCCATGTTTTGAGAGCAGCCAGTGTGCTGATTGCACAGGTGTGTGCAGGCCTTTTTATGGAGGCCAGGCCATGATTCTGGGCTCCACCCTGGCAGATAGGAGGTCTCTGCCTTGGAGTCAGGAGAACTTCACCCAGTAGAGGTGGAAGCCAGACTAGCTGTGTGCTCGTGGCCAGTTGTGTGCGAGAGCCATATTTTGGAAAGAGTCTGTAGGAGACAGACATAAAACCTGTGTACAAGCCAGGAGGCTGAGTTTTCATTTGCATGTGTTTGAGGGTGGATACCCCTGCGTGGGAAGCTTTATGTGACGCTACATTTTCTTTAAATAAAAGTGGGCTAAAAAGCCTTAAAAAAAAAAGCGAGTTGCTGTGTGCGTTTAACAAAGCTCTACCATTTGAAGCGAGTTCCCACATATGGTGGTGGATGCAGTGGGCAGAATTGGAGATCCCTGCAAAAGAAGTTTATCAGTTATATGAACTGTGTTTATGTGCAATGGACAGCACAATTTGTGTGTGCAGGTGAGGAGAACCTGCAAGAACAAAGTAAGCTGCCTTAAAGAGACAGTGCTTCATTTCTTGGTTGCTGGACTGTGCAAAAGTGTTGTGAAGTGACTGTGAAGACGGGGAGGTCAAAACTCAAAAAAGAAGCAAGGATTGCTGAAATGAGAGACAGAATCCAGTGGCTGGAGGGGTTATACCCAGAACGAGCCCCATACATGTCTGAACAGAGGTTGCCACAGTGGGAAACTGCTGCTGTTGCCCCTGGCAATACTGGTGAAAGGAGACCAGCTATGAATGAGCAGAGCACTAAGCTTGAAAGAGGATGCAGTGTTGGAAGTCCGGCCAAGATACTGCCGCAAGAGCGCTGTTTGCGGTGCAGTGAATGGGGGCACAAGGTCTCCAAGTACCCTTTTATCCCAGCTTCCAGTGCAAGGTGACCCAACCAGACAAAGGTCTGGGTATGCAATTGGGAAGCCTGTCTGGAGTTCCAGGAAGGAGCAGCAGGCTGCCCAAAAGTTTCAGAAGAATGTGGTTGCCCATAGCAAAAACTTGTGACTTCAGGCCTGCGGACCCTGTGAGAAAAGTGTCGTCTGCAGAGGATTGTGTCAACGCAGAGATGAGAGTTCAGCGCGTCTTGAGGAACCCACAAAGTTCAGCTGGGAGAGTGCCATCTCCCATAGCAACAGGAGAAGGAGCTACAAGGGAGATGTGGTTCTGTATCCCAAGAGTGATATGTGTGGAAACATACCCTGCCTGGAATGTGGTCAGTTTGGGCATGGTATCTTACCTGCCCCAGATTATGGAATACCACTGATGATGGTGCTACTGGGCAAAAGTCTTCATCTGCAAGCCCAGATTCTTGCTTAAAAGTGTTGGCAGCCACCTCTGGCAACAGTGAGGAAGTACCTGTT